ACGTCGAGATCAAGAAGATTATGGTTAGGAGTTCTGAGAAGGAGGATGTGGATCAGCCAAGTGTCTGTGTTAAGGTTAAATCTGTCTCTAGTCCAGGGAAAAGATGGAAGTTTTGGTCAGAGTTTGAGGAGGAAGCGCAGCACCAGGTCTCTCAGAGTGGTCCTCAGAGGCTCATTGTTGTCACAGACAATGTGTGTTCCGTCCTCGTCCAGCTGGATCAGAGTGTCCTGCTCCTGGAGGTGCAGAATGTGCCCCTCCCCCGTCTCCTCCACCTTCACCTCTGTTATACCATGCTGCCACAAGAGAACAACTTTTTATAATATTATGCAACCTTACTAGCTGGTTTATGTATTGTATGTTGTTGTGTCTTTTCTATACATTTCTTCTGTGACTAAGGAGTACAGCCGTATTTGAAACTACATGTTTGCATATTGCAGATTTGCAGACTGTGCAGAAAAAAGATACTTCCGCATTAGGTTTTCCCATTTTCTCATTGTTGGTTTCACTTATAACAGTTATAATAAGTACAATATTATGAAAGTTGTTTAAGTTTGTAACTTAATATTAAAATCACAATTATTTTTGCTATGCATATCACATCCTAGATTCTATTAGACTAGAGAACTTAAATGAAAGAAAATTAAGGATTATACCACTGGCTGGACATGGAAACAATAGCTGTGAATAAAATTATGATTTGCCTTCTCCCTATATGATTTTACCAAGTCTGGATGTTCACAACATAAAATAAATCAGACCTTTTGTAATGTGGCCAGAAATCCTTCCAGAGGCACAGCTCCACTGAGCAGAGCTTTAGGGCTCAGAGAGGCCGGGGGCTCCTCCAGAATGCGCTTCCTCTTCTTACTGGGCGGGGCTGGAGGGGGCTTGGGCACTGACTGCGAACAGGAAATAAAATAACATACGTAAAAGACAACATATAAAATATTTTAACTAAAATGTCCAATGTGTGTAAAGCATATTCTTGTCTTCACCATTTAACCTTTTGTACTGCTAAAATGTGTAATGGTTTTTGTCTTTCTTTAAGGTGAATGGCATTTCCCTAATCTTAGAAATAATGAAAAACTACTCTAGGACAGACTATGCCCTTCTGAGTTAAATAAAAACTATAATTTTATAATTTAGAGTTGTCCTGCACCTGTAGTGTGTGCTTATTGTCTTTGGAGTGAATCACTGCAGAGACTGTCGCCACGGAAACACCAGGCTTCACTTCACATGGCACCAGAGAGTTTGCCAACTAGAAAAAAAGTCACACAACATGGTTTATAGATTAACTTATAATGGACAACAAATAGCAATCTTGAACTATGATACACAACCAGTCAAATATTTTATCTCATTCATAAAAGATTTGCCCAATAGCCAATGGGTAAAATATGATCACTAAATACAATCTAGTATGCAGAACATTTTAAGTGGAGGGGGAGTCTTTTTTTTAGTATCAAAATCAGGTTTGAAATGTTTATATTATGAGAACCCTAGTCCAAACTTCTGACTGGTAGTGTAAATGAAAGTTCCCCAGACCTCGGGCATGATATAGACTCGTTCATATCTTCTCTTAAAGGGGAGGTTTAGCACAGAGCAGCGGCGGTAAGGCATGGGCGGAGGCTGTAGCTCCAACATCAGGTCTGAGCGATGGGACTGGGACACGGGAGGCTGGGTGTACTGCTCCGGACACACCACATGGAGGGGCTGCAACAGGGGAATATGAAAGAAAAAGTCTGTATTTGAGGTATTCATGAAAAGAGTGTTAAAGTGCATATGACAATTTTCATGATTTTTTTAATTTCCTTATTTTTTAGGACAAGTGTCAGTTTATGAAGAAAAGTTGAAAAGAATCTAGTGATTTGATTGTCACTAGTTGATTCTCAATTTCACACTCAATTTGACAATTTTGAATGGATTTTTAGTTCACATAAACAACATGAAACATATTCGGATCTAACTAGCTATGAATCAAAAAAGAATCCAGAATAGACTTGGCCATATACAGTAAGTTAAAAAAAAGAGACCATAGGCGAGCACTATCATGGTTTTTGATGGAATAATAACAAAATCCTATCAAAGACGACATTTATTAAACAAATACAATTTTGGGATAACATTCTGGCTATGTAAAAGTTAAGAGAAAATGTAGACCAAATACAAAATCTCACCTGTATTTCTTTGAGCAGTTTGGAGACCTGATGGAAGTTGAGGCGTGTGTCAATGGGGCAGTAAATGCACTTCATGGACAGAGGCTGGTATGGGGCCAGGGCATCCAGGTAGTTAAAGTCTGGTTCTATAAAAAATAAAAAAATATAAAAATAAATAATAAATATATATAAATATATATATATAAATGTACAGGGAAAAAAAACTCAAAACTATTCATCATCTGTGGCATTTGCAGTACTAATTTAGTCTAGAGTTGTCTGTATGCATTTCAGGGATTGATCCTATTCTCATAATTGCTACATAATGTGAAATAAATTCCAAAATCCTGAATACTCATTTAACAATGGCAGCATTTACCAGTGAAGATGATGGTGTTGAGGCTAGACTTTCCCCACAGCTCCATGAAGTGAACCACATCTCCAAAGCGCAGAGAGGGGTGCCCCGTGAACACCACACAGGGCTGCCGGAACTCATTGCTGAAGTCGCCATGGATACTGGGGTAGTGCTTCAGTTTATTCGTTTGGATTAACTGCAACACGGCAACACAACTCAATAAGGTCTATACATTTTGTTGCGGTGTTCTGTGTTTTCAAACTAAATTAAACACACACCTTTATTTAATATGAATAAATAATACAATACCTCTGCATGAGGGAACGGGGGTTCAGGGAGGTACACTTTGCTCTGCTTGTTGTGACAAAGCCTGAAATAAAAACATGTTATTTTAGCATTTGATTTGATATGTACATATTATTGTATAGCTTTACCTCAATCACTCCTATTTATGTAATGCATATGTATATGGGATTTACACAGTGGCGTTGTGTTTGAACGCTCCAACACAAACCCAAAGGTCAACAGTTCAATGACATGTGAGTGTGAATTGATAATAAATAAAATGGTTAAATTGTTAAAGCAACTTTGAATGACTATAAGAAACTGAAATGGTTTATTATTATTTACTTATTATTATGCCAGTCTTACTATTTTGTCCATTAGGAGTTACTATTGTGCAATTGAGTCATCCTCAAGTCATTTTAATTGAGGATCTCAGTATAATATAAATGCATTTTCTTACCACTCTGCAAAGATTTGTGAAAACTCTAGTGAGCTATTGGCGACGGGTGAAATGAAGTAAAAAGGTGTGGTTCCCAGATTGGCGCTGTCTATGAACTGGTACAGACACTCAAGCAGGTCGTAGATGACTCCAGAGGAGTAACAGGGCACCAGTACATTCCCTCCAGCGCGGATCGTCATGGCTACACACGTAAAAGACAGGTATTTCATTAAGTAAATAAACTTGGATAAAGCACCAAGAATTTCTGAGGAAAGTCTGGATTAACATATATGCATTAGCAAATATTAGTATATTGTGGCATTATTTGTCACTTGCCCAAAAAATTATCATGAAATTTCTCTGCTGAGCCTAGAAAGTATTTATAGGGACTTTAAAATTAATGCTTTATGTTTAAAATCAGTACTGGTTTAAACCTTTTTTAGACTGAGCTTTTTAGACTGACTTAAACTGTAATTAACCACAATATTTGGGCTGACTGTACCAGTGTCTATAGTTTATTATAATTATGTTGTATGTTACTATGTGTTGATGTATCCATTCACCAAGGTTGCTGCAGAATTCTCCCAGCATGCCATCTGGGTTGGCAGTAGGCATCTGTGTGAGTCCTGTTAGAATCAAAACATCGCTGTTCTTAAGAGAGCTCTGATCCATTGGCTGAAAATTAAAAAGGAAATAAATTATATTTTTTATGCGTGAAAAGTTAGTGCTAAGGCCAGTCCATGACAAAACATCTATAAACACTTTTATTTGAGTGAACCTATTGGGACATACGTATATGCGGAATTAATAGCAGTTTGTTCATTTTATTTAACCAGAATAAGCCAAAAAGTCAATGGGCCATATCTTGCCAACAGACTTAGAGCTAAGAGCAAGTGGGCGTAACCAGGTGGGGCTGTACTTCGCTGTCGGAGGCTGGAGTGGGCGGTACAAATACATATATGGTGACAGTGTCATATAAATGTTTCTGATATTACACAGAGATATGAGACGTGCGTCTGCTCTGCTGTCAAACCCCCAAGCTGTCAGTGAATACGCGCGCAGAGTCCGGCCGTGAGAATGTGAGGAAATCTGACATCGCAGCATTAGGACACACTTTAGGACAGCGCTGTAAACTGCCTCATGTGAATGAGCAGCTTTTATACAGATCCAGATCAAACCAAACTAGAGAGCAGAGCTGAGCCGATCCAGGGAGCGGGCAAGGGGCTGTGCTGTGCCAGATGACTGCCGCACAGCACACGAACATGTTATGAATGTTAAGCATTTATCATTCTAATATATTTCCAAATAAAAGAAGCCTTGAGCATGTTACATGTTGTTTTTCAGTGGACTTATTTGATATTTATTTTTACGATTATGGCAATTCACCTAACACGCCACACCACGCCCTCAGTCTGCTCCACTCCACCTGATATTCAGATACGGCACACCTCCTGTTTAGAACTCCACACCCCGCACTTGCGCCATCGCTGAGACTGGGGGCAAGATACGGTCCCATATATTTTTCCTTGATAAATAAAGGATAAATGAATAAATCAAATACATTAAATTACATAATATTGAGATATAGTAAAATGGCTGTATTTTAGTGATGCTTGGACAGTGTGTAGCTGTTTTTGTGTTCACCTGTGGATGTGTGGTAAGTAGAGAGGAGCCAGACACATAGGACACTTTCTCATGATGAGACTGAATGATCCAGTTAGAGCTGCCCAAAGAGTACCCAGAGCTAAGAGGAGAGACCTGCACAGCACCAAACAACTCCTGCAAAATATAGTTAACATTATCAAAATAATATAAAATTACAGGTCAACAATGCCAACCTTACATGGAAAAGTTATACAAGCTCTTGATATAAGCCCCCTTATCAAGTGATCAAGAATAAAACATACATTTCCATCTTGTGGCAATGTTTTTTTAATAGTGTCTTACCACTTTCTGAGAATAGCCAACAAGTTGAACCTTGCTTAGGGCAGAGTTGACCTCCTGCATTGTGTAGCACTTTTTCCACGTCCACACTTCCACAGCATCCTTCAGTGACCCAGGGAGCAGTCTAATAGCACATTAAGTAAATAATTAGATAATAGTTCTATGCTGTAGAATAGACACAGGCAAATATATAAACTAGTATATTATAATTTGAAAATTAAAACCTGATTACCTTTGTATCTCCTTGTTTTTCCAGCATGTAGCAGACTGTGGCTTAGGGACCCTCTCCATGAAGTTAACAAGCTCTTCCATCAAGAGTCTGTACAAAGCAGTAACTTTTGTTTACATGTGATTCTCTCTGGTAGTGATGAGAATAAATATGGCATGAAATTAAGACATCAGAGAGGAACAGTTCAAATTAAACATTTTGTGGATTGACATATGAGATTGTTTGGACAGTGGATGGATAGTGAATAAATATGCATGCATAATAAACATAAATGGGGGTAAATAAAAGGGCCAGGAGACTTGAATACCTGCCAATCTGCAGTGTGGGCTCTGTGGCATACACTGTTCCAGTGAAACCAGTGTTCTCAGTGATATAGGGCAGGGCCATCATACAGTGATAGTTAGAGATCAGGATCACATCAATAGTAGATAGGTCTAACAGTTCCCTCTGTGGAAAAGTGTAAATGTCTGATACATATCTAGCCTAATGTGTATTACACAGTTTTAAAGATTTTATGCAACGTAGACTTGTTACCTCAGGGAGACAAAATTCTGGCTGCGAGTCCACGAATACCCTTCCTGCACACTCCTTTAATTCCTGAAAGAAAATATTTTGATAGAAACCTTCAAATTGTGTAACTTTGTTAGATTGGATTTATTTTCTTAGCCCTAATTTATACTATGATTTAAATATGTTATTGTATACAAAATAAACCAAAAAGATTATACCTTTTCCAGATTTATTGTACTATCTTTGGACACCCAGCCAGGAAGCTTGGACAGCCTTGGACTGGAAAAATAGAAAGGAAAAAGGTTGATACATGTTTACAATGCTGATGAGATAAACCAGGGTTCACTGACCTGTGTACCAGAGGAAGGGGCAGAAAATTGAGGACAGAAGTGGTGTCTAGCCCACAGTCCAGCATAATAGTAGTGGATTTGAATTTGAGGACATTGCAAGGTAATGTAGGATGCCCTGATAAACAATACTAGAAGAAAGAAAATGTATTAAAATGCTTTGTAAACACCTACACCTACGTAATGGTCTATAGACATTTAAAGACATATATATAGATTTTACTTTGTATCAATACAGTAATTAACCCTAGCATGAATGGTTGTATGTTATGAATGGAGAAAACATAACGTTATAGCTGTTAGCATGTTAACATTGACAGTTAAATATCTAAATAAAATGTACTTTTTTTTTGTCAAAATGGATGAATTGAGTTTGGATGATTATGTTTTAAAGCGACCGTCTTATTACTCACCAGCTTCATTTTAAAGACCAGCTAAATAAACTTTTATAGCCATAGAAGTCGCTAAAGGAGCATCCCTTGAATATGATTTCCGGTTAGGGTTGATACTGGGAAATTGAGCTTTACTAGTGCTGCCCTCTGGCGGAATGGAGTTTGCTTTACTCACGCTCGGGGAAAAAAAAGTCATTCGTAAAATGAATTTATTTTAATCATTTGGATGTATGTTTTTATTAGCTTTAATTGCTCTACATACGGCATGTTATAAGTTAGCTTGTAAACTCGTTGTCACTCGAATCGTTTGAGAAAATAGCCAAATATCTGTTTGTCAATCGTAGAGGTAATGTTATTGTAGCTAACAAATGCTAACTACACATGGGTCAAACTCAAACCACTCCCCAGAAACTTCACCTCCGTATAGATACATTATTTACGTAGTCATGTTGCGAAACGGATGTCGAGAGACGAGAACTTCAAGGGGTTTTGTATGACAAGAGGCGGATTAGTTATGTTTGTATAATTATGTTTAATTAGATGTTTGGTCATGGGGGAACTGTACAGATTTTAGTGAAGAGGATTTACGAGTGGACAAAGACCGGTAAGGCTTTGACATTTACGAGTACTATTTGAACTTGGAGCTAAGGTGACCGTATATATATGGTATATTTAACAAATATTATGACAGGTATTAGTAAGCAAGTTTTCATTCATAAAAAGCAAGATTCAATCAAATGACATGACTGGTTTAAAAGTTTATATTCTGTCTGACTGCCACTGTCAGATTCTATTTTGTGTAGAACAAAAAGCAATCTACTGAATATTATATCTTGGCTTAGTAACATTAATTGGCACATAATACACATAATAAAAATGATGTTAACTGAAATACATTTATTGGTTCCTGTTGACTATCTGAGAACAATACTTTTATCTGATTTCTGTGTTGATTTCTGTTTTGCGTTGACAGAGCAGAGGTTGAGGAGACTTGGACTGTTTGTCATGGGGAACAACTGCAGTCATCTGGGGATCCCTCCAGCCAAGGGCCCCTATCCTGTGGGCTGCACCGACTTCATGCTGGACCACACTGCTCACGTGAGTTTTATCACACAGTAATAAAGCATATGTAAAAGATATGTAAATTGTGGAAGCTGCCAGATCAACTGTAATACTTGTTTTGCGTTTACTACAACATACTATTTTCTTAAAGCTACGATGACTTTCAGATAAAATACTGAAAGTAAGAAATGTAAGCTGTTTTCTTTAATGAAATCAGCTTAAAATGGAATGCACTAAAGTATAGCCGATTGTGTCATATTAAAAATACTCAACATGACTTTTCACACTATCTCCCTATGCTTCCTCCACAGGGCAGCTTCTTCCGTCTGTACTATCCGTGTCAGGAGTCAGATAAAGCAGAGAAGCCCGACTGGGTCCCCTGCAGAGAATATTTCAACGGTCTGGCAGATTTCATGAAAATCAACAGGGCGTTCAGTGAGAGGATCTTCAACTACCTCTTTGGTAAACTATCCTCCTAACCTATTACCTGGTTGTCAAAATATATTACACAACACTACACTACAAGCAAGGTTTATTTATATCATTATTTTACTAGTTTTGACTGATATAAGATAAAACAACACTTATGTTAATAATTCAATAAATAAAGCAAAAAACTAAATCACACTTCACCTAATTTTGCTTTAAAAGGAATGTAGTAGAGCCAGTCAAACTGATGTTAGGCTTCTCTGCCCAAGCCAAAATAGATAAGAATATTTCTAAGCCACTTTGCGGTTATGTATTTTGGACAGTTTTATTCTAGTTTCATAATGTTTGCCCTCTGACTCAACCAAAAGGATATGACTAACCACAAGCCTTCACTGTACTTCGGCATATTGGTCATCAGATGCATGTTATGTTTGTTTTTTTTTATGTAGATTTAGGCAATTACAGTTATTTAATGTAATACCAGGCCATGCAGCATATCTCTATAAACTGAATTACTGTTGTATTATTATTATTATTATTATTATTATTATTATTATTATTATTATTGTTATCTAGCGTTGTTGCTGCTGAAAAAAATTCCTTCAGGATAAAGTATCTGTCCATCTATCTATCTTTCTATCTGTGATCTGTAATTAGTGTAATGTATTTATGTCTTTCAGGGTCCTATAAGATCCCAGCCTATATGGACGCTCCCTTTAAAGCTGATGAGAAGTGTCCTGTTGTTATTTTCTCCCACGGTCTTGGAGCATTTAGGTATTCTATTAACTGCTATTATATATTACTATGAAATATGAATAGTTTTACCACAGAGCATAGCCAATTGTAGTAATTTCTTTTAAAGTGTTACAAATACTATTGATTTAGAATCTTTCTGTCTGAGAGTCCTGAACCAAATTATATATTGATGAGTGATTATTATATAGTAATAGATTAATAGCCAGATATAATGTATACTGTTCCCACTGAAAACTAAATTAATAGATTAAATAAATACATTGGTGGCTTCCAGATAACACTTAGGGAATAAAGTTATTTGATTGATGTATTAAAAATGGGGGGCAAAAGATAGTTCTCAATTATTATTATTTTCAAGAAATATAAAAGTTCACAAATGTTGGCCCTGATTGTTTTAATTTGAGACTGGAACTCTTGCGTGGTGTTCATGAATGTTAAGGGTTCTTTTTTACACATACATAATAGTTATGGTGTGAATATTCTAGCATCATTTTAATTGCTAATTAATCTAAAATATTGTTTTTCATATTATCTCTAGGACTTTGTATTCAGCCATTTGTGCAGAGCTGGCATCGCGGGGTTTTATTGTGGCATCAGTTGAACACAGGTAATATTTACTGTCTATTTTATGCGCTTCTGTGTTTATGTTAGGGGTGGCAATAGTGGAGTGAGTTAGGCTTTTGACTGTAAAGTAAATTCCTATCTAAGTGCATACAGTAGGGTAACTTGCAAGACTATATATCAATACAAAACCTTTTTTTGTCTGTGATATGGAATTAGGTTAAAGATTAGCCTTCTGGGGAATGACTCAGCATAAGTCTTAAGGTGAAATGTCAACTGGTTGACTAATACTATTTAATCTGAAACACACTTACATTTCAATGAGTCAAAGTAAACGTTAAGTAAACAAAGTTAGTTTAGCATTAGCTTGGCACAGACATGCATTTGTACAAGCGCCTGTGTGTTTAGTTGTGCAGTAGGAGGCTAAAGGGTGCGCAGACAATAGCAGAGACCAGCTCATCACATTTCTTTGGTGTGTACACACAAGAGGGCCATATGGAGATGAGAGTATAATGGACACAGTCAAGTGACATTTCATTCAGTTTTATCAACAGGCTAGCAGCTAAAACCACAGAAATGCATAGTGTGTGACCTAGTGTGTGTGGGGTGGAGCAGATGTTATCCACGTGCAGTGGGGAGAGTCACAGGGCAGCCCATGTGGTCAAACCAAAATGTGGTTATTATTACCCATTTCTGGATTGATAATAATAGGGCATTAAAAAAAAAAATTAAAATCCTTTTTTTTAACTAAACTACGATTAGACTAAAGTTTTTATTAGACGCTAAGTTTGTGTGATTGGGTCACCAATTTTACTATGGTACTTGAGTTGTGAATTGTGTATTGATTGCATTGGTGTCTTTGTGATTGAAAAATATCACTACTTTAGCACAACTGTAGATATTGATATGCTATCCTAATTTTGGGCCTTCAGGGGACAGGATAGACCCTGACCTGTAGAGAGCTGGTTGTAGATTTAGGGCGTACCCAAATCACTTACAAAACATGTATTTGGACAAATATATTTGTTATATTGTTTTTCAAATTGTTTATGTTAACTGATATTTTATTTATTTTTTATTGTTTATTGGAATAGCGACAGATATTTATATAATGATTAATAATTCTGTAATCCGATGCATGTATCATAGTGTTTTTAGGTTAGACTCATTCACAACACCACATATATTTTTTCCACAGAGATGAATCATCTTCTGCCACATATTATTATCGTGAAAAGACAGAGGAGGAGAAGGCCAAACCAAGTGTGCCTAAGAACTGTGCCTCTGACCCAGACCACCTGATCAAAGTGTGGATGTACTACAGAGCTCTGAAGCATGGAGAGAGTGAGTTCCCTGTCAGGAACAAACAGGTACTGCACTTTCAGCAGTATGACATTTTAAAGATTGTCAACTGAGACAGGAAACAAGAGATCTTAAAAAGGCTAGTGTTCTAGATTCTGCTGATGTCAAAAGCCACAACTGAAGTATTTTTTTGATTGGGGCTATATTCTCAAACACTTCTCTTACCACATTTTGGCAGCTTTAGATATCTTTGTCCGAAGTTTTGCACAGTATGACAAACATAACTGTAAATGAATAATAATGCGAGATAGATGTTTTTCATGGCTAAAAAATGCCGTGAAAAACATGCATTTCTACTGTAAACAGGGTCACCTCTCTACAAATCTGACCTGAAACTTGGTAATGGAGATGTCGCAAGAAGAATTTAAAAGAACTGAATGCCTTACTGTTGCACATTTCAACCAAAACAATAAAAATTCAAGACACAACAAAAACATATCTTTAGCCTAATGTAATGTGTGTTGGTGCAGGTGAAGCAGAGGGCAGATGAGTGTATTCTGGCTCTGGAGAGACTGGAAGAGATAAACTCAGGGAGACCGCTACAAAACGTACTGAAGACAGAGTTTGACTGGACCACACTGGAGGTAACTGTATTTGCATAATGACCCATGCGCAGACATTATAAAAGTTATGATATTGTGATGTCAGTATAATTTATTACATATAGGTCTGTTACAATAAGTACTGTATCGACTTATTGTCCAGTACATTGGAGTCGACAGAGAGGGACAAAGGGCTCTGTTGTCCCGAGTCCCAGGGTCTTAAGAGCCCAAAATTGGAACCTCTACTTATTAATTAATATTATGGGGGCCAATGTGTCTTCTAGCCCCAGGCCCCCAAATATCAAATATGTCAAGGGGCCTGGTTCAGTACAGGAAAGAACATTATATTTTGGGGCTTAATATTTATCGTCAATATGTCAATTTTCTTTACAATAGTGGGGAATTTTATTTTTAAAAAGATTTGAGAGTTGAAAAAGGTTTGTCTAATTATTGCTTTGTCTAATTATCACTTTGTTTCTGCTATTTATTTATTTGTTGCTGCTAAGGCCTTTTAATGTTACTGTGTAAATATTTGTTTACTGGCATAATCCTGCTTCATTGTTTTTGTATCAGTGGCATAAAGTAGTTTCAATATTATTTTTCAGTATATTGTTCTTCAAAATATCATGAGATCCCTTTAAACTTGGGTACCTCATTTTCAAGCCAAGGAAGGAGGAAGTAGTATTTGTGTGTGTCTATAACTTTCACAAACCCTGGCACATTGTTTGATCATTTAAATCAGGCATGTCCAAACTATGGCCCAGGGGCCAAATGCGGCCCTCAGACAAATTTTTTTTGGCCCTTAGACTTCCAGGTGAATTGGCCCAAATTACCTTACATCACTTAAAATTTTTTTTTTTACTGCAAGTAAAAAAACTGCTTCTTGATAAAGCTAATATTTCATATTTTGTGTGTGGTTTTAAGGATCTTAGAATGATCCATCAGTCTTTATTCATGCTAACGTGTTAAACATGCAGACATTTCAATTATTCCCTGTACTGAGAATCAGTCTACGGCCCTCGATCAGCCCTCTGCTTCGTCTGTGTTTAGATATGTGGCCCTTGATGAAAAAAGTTTGGACACCCCTGATTTAAATGAACTAACAAAACGCAGGATTAAATGTCAAACTGTTTAGGTAGGATATGGTAAATGAACAAATTAACAAATATGTGAAATAAAATGAATGAGTTTAAATGGGGAAAAGGCCCATGTGTACATTTCTGGGTGCATGCACAGCTTTAGAACAGGTTTAGAACAGCTTTTTTTCAGACAACAAAGTTAAACTGCGGTGGACCTCCTAAGCTTAGCCACTCTGATCATTGCTTCTGGACTGCGGACAGCTTGCAGAGGCCTGATTTCGTCATACAGTGCTGTTTTCACAGTATACTCTTTACTACTACTTAATACTTTACTGAGAAAAAACACAATTTACAATTTTTATTTATTTACAAAAAATAACAGGTACCCCATGAGTGATCTAATTGTAGGTCTCTCGTGTTTTACAGAATTCAATGGACCTGTGCAGGTTAGCGGTGATGGGGCATTCATTTGGAGGAGCCACTGCCATTGAGGCACTGTGTAAAGAGGTCAAATTTAAGTATGTACATGTATATTCAGTCTGTCTGCTGCCTGGACTAGTCTTGCACATATCTTTAATACTGTGATTTGTGTTTATCTTATGTCATATTGTGTATTTCCTGTGAGGTGTGGCATCGCGCTGGACGCTTGGATGTTCCCTTTAGATGAGGAAATCTTCCCTCGGGTCAAACAGCCGATCTTCTTTATAAACTCAGAGAGGTTTCAATGGGCAGGAAACATCAGCCGCATGAGGAAACTGAACTCTGCTGTCATACAGAGGAAGATGATCACCATCAGGTAGACCTTCCTTTTTTAATTGACATGAAGTTTAAATTTGTACTTCCTGGTTGATGTGGGTGGTCAGCAGATATGACAAGAATAAAGCTAATTCCATCACAGTTACCTAGCAAAACTTGTTTAAATTACATAATATTTATGATTTGATTAATAAAAATGACAACACCTTTATTTTGTTACATTCATGTTTAATCGCCTTTATTGTGTGTAAATTGACCCTGCATTTTGGATAGATTTTTCTGTACTTCTTGTACTTTTCTTCTCAGTGTTTTTAACAATCTTTCACTTGATTGATGTAAAACTATCATAAATATTTACCACTGGGACTGACCCAACAAACCAGGCAATAATTAGAAAAACATAAAAACCTTTCATATGCATATGCTGTGTGACAGAGGAACTGTGCACCAGAGCTTCCCAGACTTCACGTTCCTGACTGGAAACTGGATTGGAAAGTTAATGAAGCTGAAAGGAGAGATCGACCCTGAGCTCGCCATAGACCTGTCCAATAAAGCATCACTGGCATTTTTACAGAGGCATCTGGGTAAGTGAACAAATAAGAGTAGACTGAATAAAAAAACATAGTATTATTGATACTTTGTAGCTGAGGTCAACATTCCCTGAGGATAGTAGTAATCAAATATTTTTATTTATGGCAATTTGATCACACTGAGCAGTTAAAATACAAGTAAAAAAAAATCAAATATTATGATGATCTTGTGCACTTTTCAGGTCTTGAGAAGGACTTTAACCAGTGGGATCCTCTGATCGATGGAGAGGATGAAAACCTGATCCAGGGCACTAATGTCATACAGTCGTCCATCTGAGCCTGGTGTGGTCTGGGCTCCCCTCACAGACACAGGATTAAAGGGGACAGGCCTGTTCACCACAGAGGCCTTCACTGGTGCAGACTCTGGAAAAAGCTCTACCTCAGCAGAAGTGTGTCGCTGTTTGTATGAGGCCAGAAGCAGTCTACTCTTACCGTGGCAACTACATGAGAAAGACTTCTTTTTGGATCGTGAAGTGTTACATCATGGGTCCACCTCTTTTGGGTCCATGAACAGAAAGAATATGGACTTTGTCTGAACCTCATGCTGAATTAAGACATATCAGAGGACAGACAGGTTTAAGATATCCTGTATTTCCTATTAATTGGAGACTATGGTGGTTTTAGTTTTTTTTGTCAAATTTTAGTCTAAAAACAAGCTGAACAAAGACTTGGTAATATTTATAATACATAATAATAAAATAACTTTATTCTTATAGTATTGTCATAAATATTAAGAAATAATTATTCTTAATTTGTAACCAATTCTTTTTATCAGCAGAGGCAATATGTAACATGAATTCTTAATTAATTTTTATACATTAAAATAATTCAAATTTGGATATCTTAGATTAATATCATAGTCTCAGTACAGACTTGTCGGAAACCGGTATCTGGGAGTAATAGTTCTTTCAAATAAATTGTTTTATAGCATTTTTATTTATAGGCGTACAAAAAAATAAATGATAAATGCCTGAAGACAAAACAGTACACTTAGTTTTTATGCATTCAGCCAGTTTAAAATGGCATTGTACAAATCTGTCAAAACACCATTATTGTGAATGAGATTGGAATTCCATTGGACCTAGAAGTAGTTATGCCATGATTATGTAACAGTCCCAATGGTCTCACATGTGTATATATTTGTAAATCATAATGCTGTGCAGATAAACAGTATGGCTGCAGTGCGATTATGTGAAATGGCCTTGAATAAGACTGATGTCCTTCAGTTTGATTGATCTGGACACGAGAATGTACCTTCAACAATGCAATAATAATGGTTAACCTACAATGTTAAACTGCATGTAATTTTAACACTAATACTGAATCAATCATCCATGTGCCTCAACTCTACAGTCTCTTTTAATACTTTTATACACCTATCGTCCACTATATCTGCTAATAAGAAATGTAATAAATTGGGTTTGTATACATGATTTGTAAAGTTCTTTCTTTACTTGGGCTCATTCATGTAAAAAGTCAAAACACAAGATTTGTAATTATTTATTGTGCAAACATAAATTGTGGTTTTTTTTCCCACATACGAGAACAAGCTTTTGGATTGACAAAACTCTTCAATTCGGGCAATAATATTGATATTAACTAAAGATTCAGTAATCAAATTTGTATATTTTTTCAGTTTCTACAAATCTCTTATGAGGGCAAATTTAACAGAACTGTTTCAGAATCCTGTAAAGTCCATAGAACCATAGATCTGTTTAGCAATAGGAACAAGTCTTAGACAAACTGACAAAAGTATAACCATAAAACTAGAAGCTGCAGTTAATAACTTATATGAGTTGTTATTCTTCGGGTGGATGCTCCAGCACAGAGCCGTCCTCAACGATGAGAGAGAGGTGAGTGACTTTAGACAGCTGGGCCTCTGAACAAGAAACCAAAATAAACAACTAGTGTATGAGCAATGCATCAACAATAGGGCTGTAACGATAGCCAAATCTCTAGATACAATATTTTCACATTATGCATCTCAAGGTATGATATTTATTGCAATATTTTGTGGAGGCTAGCAAAATTGTGAATATGCTACTTTTTTCTTGTCATAATCCAGATAGCTAAGATTTAAAAGTACTTAGTATGTTATTTCAGCATGTAAATTGGACTCAAACAGAAAAGGATCATGCTCTATGTAGTTCTGTTTTTTAGTTGTTGCTGCATCATAACAATGGATTTAAGCAAAGAAACTTGTAATTCAATATATTGTGATGGCCCACAGTATGATTGTAAGACTTTTGACAATACAATATTTTGGTTATTGTTACATCTCTAATCAGTAATGGCGTAATCTCAAACTGATATATTTAGACTAATGATGATGGCAATTTATTAACTCAGGTTTTAAGTTTTGCATAATAATTGTGGCATTCATATTCTTTTGAATGTCAGGTTGAGGTTCGATATCCAAACAAAGATGTGTCTGTACTTGACTGTACTGACTAATTTCATGAATACAGTACAGGCAACTCAACTTCGCTTGGGGCTCTTTCTCAAGAAATATCGTCATCTGGCTGGATGATAACACGTGTTTTAACATGTACACAATAAGGCATGGATATAAAGTCAACCATAAAAAGCCTACTGTTATGTACAATGCACCAAACAGTCTAAATATTCACCCACATACCCAAACTGTCGTCAGCAGAGTACTCCTCCGTCAACGTGTCATCACTGGATTCCTGCAGAGAAATACAAAGAGTGCGTCATTTTTCACAAAGATATAATATTATGTTTACGTCTTCTCTCACCTCCATTTGCTTCAGACTGTCTTCAGACTCACTGCTCTCCTCTTCAGCTGCCAACTCCTCTCCTGAAAGAATAAAGTGGGTTTAAACCAGGGGAAGCTTCCCTGTATAAAGCCTGTATAATTTTGTTTAGCTGGATTTCATCTTAGAATACAATACCTGCATATAGGTCTGAGGTACAGGCCTCTTCAACCACACAGCTTGTTTGCTCTGTCAGCACAGCCTGAATAAGAGGAAAAATTCAAAACGCATATTTGCCATTTTCAAATTTACAAGCAAATTAAGTTCTGAATGGTCAATTGAAAGTAGGGCTGTGTAATTAATAGGGATGGGAAAATTAAAAATTAACATTGTTTATTGTGATAAAAAAGGGCAGACAATAATCATTAATGGGACATTTTATATACTTGTGATAATTGGCAGCAAAAAGTCATTATTGTATCACCAAAATGTGGAAAAAAAGGTATTTATCCATCAGGATCTCAGATCATAGTTGTTTTAATTTATAACAAAGTACTATTATATAGTTGTTGTATAAGTTGTTTAAACATGGAATTTATTCATAACATTAAAATTATAATGATTCATATCCATTGCATTTTAAACTGTCAGCAACTTTAATAATTATCGTGAAATAAAGATATGTACTATCTAGACAGGATACTTGGTGTTTATGTATATAGTATATAGTTTCCCTTTGTATTGTGTTCATTTCTTTTTGTTTTTGTTGACTTTTATGTCAGTTTGGTCAACTGAAGTCATGTTAAATGTGCTGTATAAATACACTTAAATTGAACTGAATAAAATATAATACAAAATCATGATGGCAATCATTTGGCATAGACTTAGACAAACTATTGATCCACAAGGGAAATTATCTAGAGCCCAACCTTCACTTTACCGAGATTTCTATGGGTGCACTATTGGCATCGCTCCAATGTGTACCTTTCTCATATAACTCATTTGTTTGATTATAATTTCAATATATGTTTAAAAAAATATATATATCATTAAGACAAGGTTGGTGATTACTGGATAAGAAAAAGTTGTCAAGAATAGTGGTAATAATCATTTATGACAACTTTAACTTTGCAAGCGGTGCTCTAGGTGTGTATACTATATTCTATTCATAGTGGTGATTATAATGTATAACAAGGGACATTATTACCACCTCTGGAGAATGGGGCGAGGATGTAAAAGAGCAGGACTCAGACTCAGCTCCTGTCTCCACATCATCAAGCACTGGAGACACAAAAGTAACAAAGAAAAAAAACATGTTAAAAATGTATTGTGTTAACCAGAACAAATAAAGGGGGCCTAACCAATCAGCTGTCCACAAGGAACCCCAACACGTGGAGGACTCTTATTCTAAAACACAGAAGAACAGTTTGTAACTTGGAAGAGCACTGGTGTAACTGATGTTGAAGTAAATATGATGTAATACCACAGTTTCCTCTTCTGTCACACTGAAATGCTCACTGCTTGCTTCAGAAAGGTTCTTAATTTGACTCTTTTCATCTGTAATAAAAATGCCATTATTTGTCTACAATACCATATAGTAATTCTCTTTGGTTTAAACCAAGAGCAGTACCTGTGCAGAGGTCTAAGAAAGACACTTCAGTTAAATGTACTGCTTCCTCAGTCCGGTCTCCCTGAAGACACCAAAAAACAAAATATTAATGAGTCCATATAGACCAAGACTACTCACTACTATTACCATTTTTGCCAAACTTTAAAAAAAAAATTATATAATGAACTCACGCATCTCACAAAATGCAGCTTGTTGAGAGAAGTCTTGTCCCAGGACAACAAGATTTTAAAGTGGAACTGTTTTTCTGCCCATACTGAACATTTGTATTTGTGTATCAAAGCCTGTTTTACCTTATTTTATGGTATGACTATTTTATTTTATTATAGTTTAGATAATTGGTATTATTGGTTTGTGACTTTTGTTCACTAACAGAGTGATTCTATACCTTTTCTGTAGGGGGTGCACTGCATGTTTGAGACTCAGTAGCTGCGACATCACCAGCTCCAAACAGGTCTGAAGGAAATATGAATGTCTCAAACAAATATAAAATAGATGTTCTTAAATTGCCAAAACGTAAAAAAATGGTTTACCTTGAAATGTCTCTTCACAGTAGACCAACGGCTCTGATGACAGGTCAGTCTAAATTTAAAAGTGAAAACAGTGATAAGTTTCTCTTTTTAAAACATTTGCAATTGTTGAATAATTACCCTAAAATCTGGGGTCTCATCCTTGCTGGTTGAACGCAGGACATCATCAGCTTTAGACCCAAGCTCCTGCTCTGTGAAATGAATATCAGAGATTTTATTACAAGGACTTCATGCAGGTTGAACCCCAGCAGAGAGCTACAAGTGTTATACTTTTGGATTGTACTCTTTAGAAAATGGGCCTCACTCACCAATTGAATCCTGGGGCAAAATGTCACTGGAGGCCAAAAATAGCAACTCTTGATTCTACAAAATTAAGTTAAAGAAAGTTAAAAGTCCATGGTGGTTTACATAGATATACTGTATTTACATTTTAGGATCTTTCTTAATTGAGAATTTTTATCATAATCATGTTTACCATTTTATCTGATGTTACACTGTGAGGAGCAGTGTCTACCTCTGGGGTCTCTCTCTCTTGGTCTGAATCTGGACAGGTAAACAAGTCTTAACAAAACATTACCCACATCTCACCTCAAATTTATATTAGCTTCAAGTACAAAAATAAAAACTAACCAAATGAATCATCAGGCAAAGCTATACTCCAGGGCAGCAGTAGTGCACACTGAAACCATACATCAAAAGTTAAATTACGAATGGCGTTGTGTTATTGCAAGTATATCTGAGATTTGCTTTGTCAACGCTTTTAACTTCTCTTTGCATTAGCTGAATGATTTTATTTGCATTTGATTACCGTTTGCACAGGGGACACACTGGCATAAGTTGGTTCATGAATGATTTCCTCTGGAGTTTCACTATCCTGGTTTAAACCTAGGAAAAAAAAAAAAAAGTACATTTGTTTAACTATGAATCCTAGTTGAAGAGAGCTGGGCAGGTTTATGTGCTACATCTCTATTGTAGTACTTACCAAAAGTATCACAAGGAGTAACATCATTTGAGGGCAGCAACAAATCTTCATTCTGCAAATTATGTTTAGAACATTCTGTTTAACATTCAAGAGCTCATTTGATTGACACTGTGATAATTAATGTGTATGTTAATTAATGGTTTACCATTTTCACTAACGTTACACTGGCATGCATTTCAGGGACAGCTACCTCTGATGTCTCGAAACTTTGGACTAAATCCGGTTCTAGTTTAGTTTAAGACAGAGCTGGTCTATAAAACATTCACACATTCAATTTTAATTCTGATGCAAAGGTTAAGTTCTCACCAGATGAATCCTGAGGCAAAGTGTCACGTGAGGGTAGAAAGGAAAAATCTTCAGTCTGACAATTATAAAACAAAAGTAAAATGAGTTCTATTGTCTTTTTCCAGTATGCACAGTTAAATTGTCAATCACTCCAACCACTCTAAGGCCAAATCTTTTTTGGTAATTTCGGTTACGTTCTTTACCAGTATGTCTGACGTCCCACTGGAACAAGACATTTGAGAAACATTCTCTGGAGTCTGAGTATCCCGGTCTGAATCTAGAAAGATTTACACAAGTCTTAATATGGAATGACATTGTAAGAATATCTTTGCATGAAATTCAATAAGATTGGATTGATTTTTTTATGCCTGAGCGCCAAGGTCCGTAATTTTTCTACAGGTGTCATATTTAAACTCACCTAAAGGATTTTGAGAAGAAACTAAACTTGAAGGGAACACATCTTGGTTCTGCAATGGAATACCAAAGTAAAATAACAGTTCAAATGTTTCTGATTACAATATAAGTTTTGTATTGTGCACCATTTTATTTGTACCTGTTGAGATTCGTCAGGGCTCTCTTGCTCAGGACCAGTGTTGCTTGTTAGATGAAAAGATAAACAGGGCACCTAGAACAAAACAGTGTGATTAAAAATAGATGAGTGGACTCCTATAATACCATCCAGGCTTTGCCTTTTAACCAAGATGTGGTTGTGCATAATTTACCATTTGAGCTGCTGTCATGCTGACAGAACCTGGCGTTTCAGGAATTACAGTCTCTGAGGTTTCCATATCCTGGTCTGAATACCCAAAAATTCGTATATCACCATCAGTACATCATTTTACATAACATGCCAAATATAATGAATTATGCCCTGTATATTTTAGTAGAAGTTCAGGTCAAAATACTCACAGAATAAATCCTGAGGCAAATCTTTTGAGGGCACCAAAGACAAATCTTCATTCTGCAACTGCAGTTTCATCTCTACCTGCAGTGACCCTAAGGAGGGTTCATCTGGGGTCTCTTGCTCTGGACTGATCTTACCTCTCAGAGTCAGAGCCAAGCAAGGAACCTGCATCCCAATAATATGGAAATGTTACACTGTCACTGCTTTCATAAAAATATTCAAATTTTACTTTTTATAATTTACCAATCTTGCTGCTCTCTTCACAATGGGAGGCCAGGTTTTCACACTTGGGATGTCAGGATTCTGATTTTGAGCTAAGAAAAAAAAAAAAAAAGGATATTCAAGTATGTCTTTATTACAATAATCAACAACACAGCTTTTCACTGTTTGATAATGAAAGACTGGTCTTAAAAGCAAAGACGGTGTTCTTATCAGTTTGACAACAAAAGTTCTGCTCACCTGAAAATTTGCAGGTGTCCGGGTCATCTCCTGCTTCTTTATATGGAGACTCAAACGGTGTCTCTGTGAAGCTTGACTCATCCATGGCCTCCAGGAAACATTCGTCCAGTGGGGACCCCATATCTTCAGGTCCTGTGGTGTCCAATACTAATAAATCTTGTTCTTCTAGGTCTTGGTCCATCAATCTTGCCTCATAACTTGAACTCAGATCTTCACTTTCATCACTAGTGCAATATAACAAAGTCTCCTCCATGGCCATGTCATATGTGGAGGCATCAGGGGGTTCAGGTGTTATAGCAGAGATGTTAATGTCTAGGCTCTCAAGGATTTGTGAGCCAGAGGATGTGCTGCACATCTGGTTTTCATCTTGTTCTAATGGCACAACAAATGACACACCAGAGTTTTCCAGACTGACTTGAGTATCATCTGCCAATATCAGATTCTCGTCAACTTCAACCAAGGACTCTGAAGTCTCAAAGTCCAGAGAACCAGTTTCTGTGTCAGTTTGTTCTTCTATTAACTCCTCAATCACTTCACTCAAACTTTGGTCCAAAGTGGCAGAAACTTCACAAGACTGTTCTTTCTTTGGTTCCTCTAATTGAACAGTTTCTAGTTCACTTAGAGGTTCAGTCTCAATGGAGGTTTCAGATTCTTTTAAAACTTCTGACCCTTTACTCTTCCAAAACTCTCTCATGGACTCATTGATCACAAGGCCTTCACATTCCAGGTGCACATAACATTTAGTTTTGCCATCTTCCTTGGTTACTTTGCTCACAGTCAGTTGTAGAAGTTGGTCCACGGTGAGCGCTGAAAACATATCTGCAGCACTACTTTCCCAAGATCCTTCAGAGGAATCAAAACCTTCTAGTTCACATAAGAAGGCCTGCAGTGGGGTTTGGATTAGTTGGGGAGGTATTTCTCTCAAATCACCAATTTTCACTTGGGAGGTGTTTCCATAATCAACAAACAGAAGCGATACTTCATCTCCAATTCTATTCAACAATTCAGCTCGATGCCAAAGTTGATCTTCTGAAAACAGAGCAATGCAAGGGCTTCCAACCGAAAGGGAATCAATGTTCTTGGGATCTGCAGAGTTCCCTGCTTTTGCAACACTTTCGGATATTTGCTCCAGCTCTCCCGTGTCTGCAGACTGGCACCAGAATGACTGAGCATCAGTTATAGATGAGATGTATACCTCGAGCTGTTGTCCATCTTGGAATTCTTGCTGCTTGAATCGTAACGAGCAAGATTCTGCCGCTTTTGCCTTAAATGGAAGCTCTTTGACCTGTGACAAGGTGCTATCAGATTGGTTTTTCACACTAGTTGGCTTACAATCAATTTCAACACCATTATCCTGAAGACTGACTTTCCACACAGTTCCGGACTGTTGAATGAACTTGCACTGTAACAGTTTTTCTCCAACATTATCAATGGCAGATTCAAAAGCAGACAATACCTCTGTGTCCAAGACTTTTTCAAGACCAGCTGCACTTTTCAGCAAACAGTGAGTACTATATGCAGGAAGTCTAAGGAAAGTTTTATCAAGCTTGCGCATTTTTGAAACAGGAACAGTTGCAGTGTTTCCGAAGTCAACAAACTCAACCAGAACTGTTGCTTTATCTTGTTTTTCTTTTACGACTGCGCGATACCAGGACGAATCATCTGAGAACTCTGCCTGAACAAGGTCCCCTGGAAGCAATTCTGTGATGGTGTCAGATTCAGAGGAAGTTTTTGTGTCATTGAGCTTTTCTACAATAGATAAAATATCATTCTCCTCTTTGACCAACTGCACATAGAAACTCAGTGGACTGTTGTAATGTGAGATGTACACATCTGCAACCATACCACTTGTAATTGATTTGGATGGCAAGTCAACAAGTTTTGGTAGTTTTTCAATTTTTGGTTGAGGAACACTACTGTCATCAATCCAACTTTCCGTGCTAGGACCTGGGGTGTGTTGCTTGCTATCTTGTTCATTTGGCTTTGTTTGAATTTCCGGGTTTCGGTCTTTTTGCTTGGTAAGTTCTGTATATTTTGGTCTTACATTTTCCTTGGCATGAGCTGATCCTTTATATTTTTGTGTCCCATTTGATGTTTGACCATTTGATTCCCTTTGCTGTGGAGGCCTGTACAGCTGCAGGTTCCCTTTGACATTTTGACGAGGTCTGGTTTGAGGGTGCATCTTTTTACTCACTGACTCATTTTGTTTAGTCATTTGTGATTTGAGAACAAATGAATTGTTATAAGTGCTGTGCTTAGCTTCTGCTAGTGATTCCTTTGAGATGGGCTTCACTGTAGGCTCACTAGACTTGGCTTTAGGTTCTTCTGTCTTTATCTCAAGCTCAAACAACTTCTTGATTTTAGTGTTAACTTGGCCTTTACCCTGATACAGCTCAACTACCAGCTTCCCATCAGTTTCTTTGGCAACAATGAGAGCTCTGAAATCACACTCTGTGGAACTAGTCTCAAACCAACTGTTGACCTCTGAAGGAACATTGTCAGGGATGTCAGATAAACTGCACAAAACAGCTTGAACGGGCACAGCCATGATATCCGATGCTTCTTTGGGGACAGGAAGAAGGTCATCTTTATCGACCTCAATAGTATCACCGTAATCTACAAAATGCACAAGTACAGATGGTTTTGTAGCTTTGATTTGGCCCCTGTACCAATGTCCATCTGTGTATCTGGCAAAGCACAAGGTTCCAAACACAGGGGGGATCTTTACTGTCAGAAGTTGCTCACACAGAATGTTTACTTTTAGCTGTAGATCTCTGAGCACATCAGCATTGCGTCTGAGCTGGCAGTAGAAGTGGCTGACATTTTTCACATTTGTTACAGTGACTTGCTCCTCAGTTCCTGTTTTCACATTATGAGTGGAATAGTAGTATGTGTCAAGGCGGAAAGAGGGGCCTGAAGGGGGAGCACTTTTAACCAAATTGACCAGATTGGTGCAGATGCTTTCAAAAGGAGTCTCCAGATTAACAATGTTGAACACAATCTTCTGCTCGCTGTACATCACGGCATAAATAGTACACTTCAAAATCACAAAGTTGTTTGCAGCAGTTTCAACAAAGGTATGGAACCTGTCCACAGCCTCTTCTGTCCAGTCATTGATGGCTGATGTGGGGTCAACAGGGTTAAAGAGACTGCATCGAAACGCTTGGCCCGGAAGTGTCATAAACTCCTTTTCTATTTTCCTCAAGTCCAAGATATTAACCGTCTCTGTGTGGCCATAGTCAATGAACAACACATCAACATGAGGAGTGCTATGCTTATGGACAATAAGAGCTCTGTACCATAAGCCATTTTCTTGATGGCGGGCAACACAGGCTGTTTCTGTAAGAGGCTGAAACTCACTATTTCTGTAATGGGTCTGCATGTCATACATCAGCAACTTCAGATGTCCAGCACTTTGCACTAACTGACACCAGAAGTCATTTGGGCTTTCAATGTAAGACACATTGACATCAAGAACACTTCCAATGGAAAACATCTGCTCCTTGAATGTAACTAGTTTTTGTTCACTGCCACCAGAGACATTGTTCTGAGGCTGAAAAGATGTTCCACTATACTGTGCCATAGAAGGAGCAAACTGTGAGCTCGTTTTTACCATTAAGTGTCCCCTAGTTTCATCTTTTTCTGCAAAACCAGTCGCACATAATAGCTTAGCCAGATCTTTTTCTCCTTGTGCTTCTGGGTCTGTCACTTTAACAAAATGGCAATCATCAGACTTAGTTACCACATGTACATCAAGTGTTCTATCCATTACTGTTTTAGAGAACAGCTCGCATGCTTCTTGACTCCATTCTCCAGCTTTTGGTCTAACATTAGCAAGCGAGCATTTGAGTGCAAGTAGTGGCAACTTTTTAAACTCATCAGGTAGAGTTTTGATGAAACGATTTTCCACTGCCTCACAGTTACCATAATCCACAAAATGCACCTTCACTTCTGAATTGCCAACCTGTGTTACAACAGCTCTGTAGTACTCGCCATCTTCAGCTTTGGCTGCACAATAGAGACCAACAGTTGGGTTTTTGACCATATCATCATTTAAATCTTTTTGGTACAAGTTAGCCAGTTTGTCCATCAAAGCATCCAACTCATTTGCAAAGTTTTGTGTTTGTATCCAAAATTCTGATGGACTAGATACATACTGTACAAATGCAACATAAGTGGACTTGACAGAAAGATGATCGACAGGCAGTGAATTCAATCTCTTTTTGTTCTCCTCTGTCGCTCCCATCTTTTTTTGTTTTGCAGAGGTACTGTTACGGCTGTGTCCACTTGTGCGAATGGCATAGTCACCTAGTGTTTTCTCACACTGCAGTAAGCAACTCTCCTTGGAACCAAACAAGCTGTTGATGTTGGAGTTTTCGTCTCCATAGAGCGTCACATAGTAAACACCTTCTGTAATGCTTTGGTACTCAAACTTGGCAATGATGGTCTTAAACAGAAGCAGTGTCCTGAGATAGTCGATTTGAGCAGTGGTCCATCCAACACCTTTGTCAATGATTCCATGGAGGGAACAGTTGTACGTCACAACAGGCATCTTAAAGTACTCAGAGGCCAGTGGTCTCACGTTCTCCACTTGCACAATCTGTTTGATGCCATAGTCTACATTCAACACTTCTACCACCTTGTTGGCTGGAAACATCTGCTGAAGTATAGAGCGGTACCATTTACCGTCAGACCCCCGTGCAGCACAGGGAAAGCCAATCATTTCAGGGGCAACAGTGCATGTAGTGGTTCTGCCATCACAGCTCTGTGTAAGCTGCTCTGACAGTTTTTTTAGTTCTTGAGAAAAAACCTTCAACTGGCAGAAGATCCTCTGTGGATTTGTGACTTCTGTGACAACAACAGTCTCCACTGTTCCTGCTTGTAGTTCTGGGTACATGAACATCTCTTTCTTGCTCAGCCTCTCACCCATTCCTAAGGAGACAACAGACTGCGGTTCTTGAGGTAGTGTGGGCCCACTTTTATCCTGGAGTGGTGGGAACAAAAAGTCCTGGAACATTTCTGTAGGTAACTTCCTTGCAAATCCCATCTCATACATTTGTTGTGCTATGCAAGGGATGTGCAATACAAACATTCGATGCAGCATCACGATTTCCTGAACATGAGCCTTTACAGATCTACCAGTGAGAGACTTTAAAAACTCCAACGCCACTGGAGACCACCTGTTATCAGGAGACACAGATACAACATTCGCGAGCACACAAAATTCCACTTCAGGGGGCAAGTGAAAGTACTCTTTCCTACCCCAAGCAAGCATTGTTGTGATTGTGCTATAGGTTATGCCTTTGTCAATGAGATACACAACGTGCTGTGGTCCATTTCGTGACACAATGCGAGCTCTGTACCAGACACCATCTTTCAGAGCCAAGCACTGATCTCCAGGATTTCCCTCAAACTCTTTGAATAGATTACCAGGAGACTGAATGATCTTGAGCAGGCTAAGATAGTCTGCTGCCCCCTCCTGGTTAAATTTTGCCCAAAATTCAACAAGTTCACACAGAGGGTGTATGTGAACCCTGGTTATGACAATGGATGTTTCTGATCCTCGGGCAGGAAGTCCTTGAATTGAAGACATTTCAATTGGCTGCTTCATAAATCCCTGCATTCCATGAGCTGCCACATCTCATTGATAAACACGCGGATGTTACCTGAAAAAACACATTACAGTGTGAATGTTAATATTTTTTGCAGTCATAGATTAAATGTAGTCCTAAAAATGTAACATAAATTAGATTAAATAATACTATATGTTTCTATAACTTTCCATATTACTAGCTTTTCAATGTATGGGTCCAGATTGTGACATTGTGATTTGTTTGTCTGTTTATACTTACAGGATTTAAATAATTATGATCATTTGATCCGTTGTAATGTGGCAAAACTGGAAAAAAATAAAATGAGGTTAAACATTATTAAAGACAAGAAATATCAATAATCCATCAGTAATAAGTAGTACTACTGTAGAAACTACTACGCTGTGAATAAACAAATCACATAAAAGAATCCTGTCTTACATGCCATTAGCTATAATTAATAGCTAATGGCTAGGCAAGAGAAGAATTGACAAAACAAACACTACGGGGCGCATCTGACTAGCAGCAGTGTTTTGACAGTTGATCATAACAAACAAACGATCACCAAACAGACCAAAAAATACCACCACCACCATATACGACTTGCACAGTGTTCTCTGGAATTATCTAATCGTCAGAAAAATAAACAATTTCTTGGTTTATCAATAATCTTGATGAGCTAAAGGGTTACATCTAAAATACATTAGCCTCCATAGCAAAACTCAGACGCCTAATAAAATGTCCCAGGTCAAACAGCACTGTTAAACTTAACTTTAAAATAAACTTGAGAAATGTGATGATGTGTTTGCGTCCATATGAAATTGAGTGAAATTGTTAAGTAATCGTTGTTATAAAACTCACATGAGATTCCAACGCAAATTCCAACAGCCCCAGCTTCAGGCGTTTCTGTTACAACTTTATCCAAGCGGACGTTAGCTCGGCAAGCGTTAGCACTAGCGGCCGAGTGTTAGCATTAGCGGCGCTAATGTGAACCGTGTAAATTTCTCACATCTAAGAAAATACTCACCACCCACAGCGTTTTATGATATCGCAGTTTTTTTTCCCCGGGTGCAGGATGTTATGATGAGAGTTAAAAGTATTCACACGAAAGGATTAAACACTCCACGGCAAACAAACGAAAATGTTAGTAACGGTTAGCTGTAGATTAGCGAAAGTTCAAAGCCAGTAAACCACGTTCTCTGGGGAAATGTAAAGATTTGCCCCGGAAATGTTTTTTTTTGTTTTTTTTTTTACCATTTCACCGAAAGGGTTAAAAATCCCCAAATGTTTAAAATACCTCCTGCTTGGTATCACCAATCCACCAATGCTCAGTTCAGAAATTATTATTACAGTGCAAATTTTGGAATATTTACTTATTGTCAATTACCATTTGGTGTGTAGAACCTGGATATGATCTACCATTTAAGGATGTGAAACAGAATTTATAATAAAATGTAATACTTTTTGATCAAATGGTTAAAAAAAAAGTTTATTATGCCTCTTATTGTTTCAGTTTAACCTACCTCAATTCATGACCAGAAATGTTCACACGATGACGCTGTTGGCCTAGATTTGTTCCACAGAACGTCATCAAGCGGAAGTGCGTCATTACGCTATTACGTCGCCATTTTGTGGTCTTTGCTAACGGGGTAACAGCTCAAACTGCGTGGCTTTTCTCTTTTTGGGTCAGTTTTTATCAATAAAGTGATTCACAATGGCTATGCAAGCAGCGAAACGAGCTAATGTAAGTAAGAGAAATAAAACATTACATTGCGAGCCGGGACGGCATTGTGCGATTGAGTGGAAAAGGATCAAAACAATGAAGCTGTTAAGTGCGTTATGTAAGCAGAAGCTAATATGTGTCGTTATCTTAGAAGTGTAACCCTTAACGTGTAACTTCTTTATTATTTAGCAAAACACTCGAAAGGTATTGTAATCCGGTACATTTTTGTGATCTGTGGTGCGCTGTTTGTATTTTGGGTTTTGATTGTAATTCCCTAATGCTATCCTAACGATGTTGGCCGATGTGAAGTGCCTTGATCAAGTTATTGTAATGTATCTTTTGTTATTTTCAGATTCGGTTGCCTCCCGAAGTGAACAGGGTCCTCTACATTAGAAACCTGCCCTATAAAATCACAGCAGAAGAAATGTACGACATCTTTGGGAAATACGGACCAATCAGACAGATCAGAACGTGAGTATCCCATATAAACGGATGGTCAAAACCTACAATCGTACTTCAGTGATAATCTATGAAGTGGATAAATTAATACAATTTTAGGGTAATCTGACAACTATTAAAATTGTCAATCAAACCCAAAACCTGCCCTTAACCATACAATTTTAGGACTGCTGTATTCCTTGCCTCCCACTCCTCAAAAATATTCGTTGTGTAACATATCTTTAATCTGATTCCTTTCCAAAACCTTTGCAGAGGAAACACACCTGAAACCAGAGGAACAGCATATGTGGTTTATGAAGACATCTTTGATGCCAAGAACGCTTGTGACCATCTCTCTGGCTTCAATGTCTGTAACAGATACTTAGTGGTGCTGTACTATAATGCAAACAGAGTAAGTATTTATTTATGGGATCTAAATATATAACTTTTTAAAAGTACTACAACAATAATATTTTCTTTCTTTAAAGGCTTTCCAGAAAATGGACACAAAAAAGAAAGAGGAACAGCTGAAACTTCTAAAAGAAAAATACGGAATCAACACAGACCCTCCAAAGTAGTGTTATATCAACATTTTTTTCTTTTTTTTATTCCTCTATTGTACAGCCTTTTTTTTTTTTTTTTTTTTTTTGTTAATGGCATTCATATTAGTAATTATTTTCTTTGCTTACAAACTTGTTGAAAAATGTGCTCTGGTAGGCTTTGTTTCTTACAGCCTTAATTTTTGTCAGAAAACTTAATTTAAAGAATCATTATGCTCACTTAAGTCTTGAAATTCAAAACATCATTGCAAATAAATGTGGTTTTCCTAAGAAAAAAAAAACAAAACTAAGTGTGTATGTAATTTTAAGTGCCAGGACCTGTCGTGTATGGCACAATTGTCATGGATACATAATGAGAGGATGCAAAAGGGTTAGCATTTTATTTTCTCTTTCTATATTTGTAATGTAAGGATTTAAGCTGTTGACACATAAAAACTCTTTCATTTTGGGAAATTATTATCGGAAATGTTTTTCTTGCACCCTCTTTTGGAAGTCTTTCCATCCCCATGACACTGAATGTCTTATCCAATTGTAGAGATTTAGAATGAACTGGTCACAACTGTTTCATATGACAGTGTTTTACTGAGACCCATTTTGTGCTGTGCAACAGGTACATTTAGTGGCACAAACTGTCTAGAGCAGTGTGTGTTCAACTGGACAGCTCTCGTACTTTGATGAATTGCTGGTCTGTCCACGAATACAAATATTGATGTCAAAATAAACAGGGTAATCAATTATTGTGATTTATCAGGTTCCGAAACATTTCCTATAGCTAGTCACATATTAAAGGAATAGTAGTGGTCACTGTTGTTTGGTCTTAGTAATGGTACATTTCCTCTCACAATCATAAGACTCAAATGTGAAATTGTGACATCCCTACCTGCAAATAACTGATAGGCTTGTAGATAGGAGGTTTGTTGGAAATAAGATTGTTTTGTCAAACCATCAAACCAAGTAAATATAAAATGTGACATGAAGGACAGACACAGGTCCATTGAGTTCCTTTTAATAGTTTAAATCACAACACAGGGAGTAGTGCAGCCATGTCTTCAGGGACACAATACATGCTACAAAAGAATCCTCATACACGGTGGCTTATGCTTACATTTGGTACCTTGATCATAATAATAGCAATATTAATAATAAGAGTAAATAGAAACATTGTCAAAGATGGTAATGTAAAGAAGCTCAGGGAGAAGACAGGATGTCATATTTTATTGCAATACATATTTTGTCAAGCCCTCACCTCTTCAACTCTTGAAACATGCTAGGTGTTAAAAAATACCAGGAACTACTATGCTCCACTGAACTTCTCTACAATTTGAAGTATAATGAGGCGCAGGAGTAAAAAAGTACAAAAAGGCGGATTGAAAGACAGGGAGGTGGGTTGGGTGGCAAAACTGTCCGACCCGCTAAACGCATGGCTTAACAAATCAATTCTCAAGTTTTATAGCATTCTGGCACTTCCACTGAAAACAATAGAAAAGATGAAACTCAAAGGCTGCCATCTCCTTATTTCAGCATCACGTTTATTAACTCTGATATGCAACCTGCAAGTTCACAAAAGGGGATGTGGTGGAGACAAAATTAAAACTCAGTGCTGTGAATATGCTTGCCCTAGTTGAAGTCACAACAGCAATAATTATTAAAATGAAAGGAAAATTCTGAAGCAGCACAAAAATGTTAGCAAGCAAAATGCCTACAAAACATAAAAAAGAATTGCCAAACGTAAAAAATAAATAAATAATTTTAAACATGTAAACCAATTTTAAAATAAAAGTGCAAAGACAAATTTACTACAAATGTCAAAATGGTAAAATAATATTTCCCAAAAATTAGCTAAAATATTAAATGCAAACTGTGAAGCACAACATTTATAGGAAAAAGTTAATTAAATTTAAAAAATGTAAATTATAAAAACAACATCTTCATAATTTGTTGCTGTGACTTTTCTTTTTGGGCCACCATACTCAGTGTTGAATTTTATAAAACTTGCGTAGCTAGCATATAATATATCCTTATTTTTCATCACTTGCCTCCAGCGTTTTTTGAAATTTTGTTTTATTGTAGCTCTTTTAGGATACTCCACATTCTTCATATTTGAAAAGATATAATAGTTGTGTGCATAAATGGGGCGGGTTTTTAAAGATACCACAGCTAATATACGAGGAAACATGCTTCGACAGTTAAAGCAGTCAAAAACGAAGTCTGGACAAGTACGTTACATCCCAATAGACAATACTAGATGGATTTATCAATTCGCCACTTTGAAAAGGCTTTTTGTCTTAAAGATCTTACAGGATGCAACAACAAGGAGGTATTTTAAGGCAGAACCTATAGGCATGCAAATTAACTACGAATACATTTCTTTACGGACGGTACAAGCATGTTTCAGATTCCTGTTTGATCTAGAGCTAATATTTGACACAATGGTTTTCAATCGGAGGCAGATACATTATTATTATTGGTATAAGAATTTGGTTTGGTTGCTTATGAAACACACAGCTAGCATTGGTAAACTTGTAACGGTAAATAGCAGTGATTTGAACGTCGCGCAAGCTCCGGTAGAATGTTATGGAAAATACTTTGCACACTTCACATTTTGGCAGTTACTCTTTAAATAATTTAAATATATATACTCATATTTATAGATCTATATATATCATTGTGCAAGGTGTGTCCTGTTGTGTGGTGTGTGTGTGTGTGTAGTCTGCACGCGCACACTGATTTTATGTTGTGTATTGTAGATCTTTTAGAGCATAAACATTCTCATGCACACGAGTGTTTCAACACAAGAAGCAGATCCGTTGAAAGGTAGTCCAAGCATATTTTTTCAGTGGAAATAGCTGCAGACTGGATGGAGATGGTTTGTCAGTGCAGTCCATGGAGGCTGGCGGGGCCCTTATTTCTGGAGGTCGCACTGCAGCAGTAGTACGATGGAGGGGTCACTCTTAGCCGCCTCCTTGAACTCCTCCAGTGAGATCTGGTCATCGTTGTTCTTGTCCATCTTGGAGAAGATCTTGTCCACTCTCTGCTCAGGTGTCAGACCATCCTCGTTCATCTTCATCATGATCACTGTGCCCACCATCTTGTAGATCGCCTGGAGACAAGAGAAGAGGTGATGCTACTATAAACCAATCAATCAATGTGAAAGTATTAAAAATTATATTGCCCATTGTTTATTATATATATATATATATATATATATATATATATATATATACTGTAAATTAAATAGTTATGGCAAGTATTATGGCAAGTAGTATGTTTCTTCCCTCATCCAAGTAGTTTCTTCAGTTCTGACAGGGTTTTGTAAGTCACTGCCTACTTTAAATGCATTCCCTCTTTTTTTTCACTCTATTTTGTCTCTAAGAAGCAAGCAAAAGTAAGTCCATAACTTTCTTGATTATGTTATGTTATGATAAAAAAAATACTTGATAGAAAATCCTGAAATGTTGAACCTGATTCTCAGTCACTAGAAATACAAGTACAAGTTCACCTGACATTGTTCTTATACCTCAATGATCTCGAGCATCTCCACCCGTGTGATCTTGCCATCTCCATCCAGGTCATACATATTGAAGGCCCAGTTCAGTTTCTGCTCAAAGCTCCCCCTGGAGGTGATGGACAGAGCGCAGATGAACTCTCTGAAATCAATGGTGCCATCTCCGTTCTTGTCAAAGGTCCTGAAGGCGTGCTGAGCAAACTTGGATGCATCACCATAGGGGAAGAACTGTTGACACAAGAAAAAAAGGTTTTACATTAGATTTTGGTATTTCAATAGTTGTATTTGTGTGTAAAGTTGATAGCACAGAGAGCATAGTTACTATAGTAAAATATGCGTAACGTATACTCAGGCTAATAGAAACAATCAGGTTTAACATTCGTGAATTCTCCTATTGGAGATTTCTTATGAAAGTACGATGCAATCATCAGTGATGTCACCCATAGCATTCGGCTCCAGACAAATGAAGCTCACCGAAGATAGCAGTTATGGAGCGAATTTGGAGCCAAGATCCATATTAGGAGTAGGAAAAACAGGTCCCCACCATATGTGAATTAGGACAATAACACAACTGACCAAAGACTAAAGCAGTAGTAAACAAGAACTTAACAGGACTAGTCCCAAGTGAATACAGAAAAGCAGGACACAACTAAAGACTATACCACCGGTAAATTGCAACAGTTTCATAACTATAATGTGATTATGCCAAATATTCTTTTTTCCTTTTGTATCAAAAATGACAAACAGCAATCAGATGACCTTGGTATAGTCATTATTAGATACTGAACGACTATTATCACTATGCAAATGTAGTCTTTCCTTTTTACCCCGTGTGACCTTCAGAGGATTTATTTAGTACACCCTCTCTCATCACCTCGAACATTTTGTTGCCTGCAGACTTCCTTTAAAGAGAATCCGCTTCTAAAAATACGCCACAGTTTTTAGCTCAGTCTGTATTGATCCCTGAAGAAAAGCTCTCTTTTTCTCTAAGGACTTACTCAGAAGGTCAGCACAGCATGTTTCAGTCTCATTACTGTGGAAAAATGCAAAAACGTGTCACATCACATCTGCAGACACACAAACATGTAATACTTGTTTATTGGTTGTTTGCAGGAAAAAAGAAATAGTGTCCAGACATCCTTGAAAAACTGAACTGCCCATGTTTATACATTAGTTATAAATTACACAATGTCAGATTTATCACTGCAGCTTTTTTAATTGTCTATTTGGACATAAATCTGTGATGAAGGCTGGTATCATAGATCAATATTTATTACCGCTCCAAATATTTAGCAAAAATGCAGTAGTGTCTGACTTTGTTTCAAAGTCATGATAAACAATAACAAATGACTATAGTGTAAGTTAGTTTCATTTATGTAAAGGGCCCATATTACACAGGGTATCCTCAGGTTTGACTTACCAAATTTAAGACTTTTTAAAGACCGCTTAAATGAAAATTAGATCAACATCACACCCATTATGCAGGCGAAAAACACCAGATCCAATTTGAACAATGACCATTTCTCCCAGCTTTAAATTAAAAAAAATACTTTGATTATAAAATCTCATTCGGAACTCATTTATAGTAGTATGCATTGCTTGTAAAATGGCCAAAAAGCATTCATAACATTCTAACAAGACAAACTAAATATTGTTTGCACATACTCCAAATTAGATGTTCAGTCATGTTACGTAATCTCATGTTTTGTTTTGTTTTCCCTCCATTTAACATTGCACTGCAGCACCGGTTGAGTATTACAAAAAATAGGCTAATGAAATTTAAGATCTTTGTGAAATAAATAAGACTTGGACAACATTAATGTAAAACTTTGTAAGGCCTTAATTTAGGGAAATTTAAAATCTTTTTAAGACTTTTAAGACTTTTAAGACATCAGAGATCTATGTTATAATGTTGTCTCCTCATCACAGACAAACAGAAAACCTGTTCCTCCCTGTGATGTCATGTGGTAATACAGGAAGTCCCCACTGTGTTTTTATACTCCATACACCTTCACTAGAATCATTTGGATGATTTCAGCACAGGAATCGCCAGTCTCTACTAAGCAAAAGCAAAAGATAGCTGTTAACTTTAAACCTACCACTACATGACATCATACGGAGATGCAGACAAACTAATAATAAAGGGTTACTCAAACATGTGTGAATGAAACAAAACACAACTAAAGGTATGTTTTTGATGAAGTATCAACAGTCTAACATGGCTTAAAGCTC